TAAAATAAAATAAAATAAAATAAAATAAAATAAAATAAAATAAAATAAAATTCCAATACTGAAAGAAAATCCCAAAGATATCTGAACACCTGTTGAATGTGATTCACTTCTTCAGAGTCATGGCAGTAATATGAGATATGGTGACGTATCACTCGAACAACACACACATGCTGAGAGTATTTATTCTCTACGACAGTCATCACGTTCTGAGCCACTAGTCTTCACCTTTTGAAAATAATGAAGAAGAGCGAATATAATTTTTAAAATCCTTTACAGGGACAAAGCAGATCAACAGCCTTTTAATCATTATGCCAGATAGATCATACTTTCTATTAGTTTGTGAAGACTCAAACAAAGCTTGGTAGTCACATTTGGAATGGTTGTTAAAGAACTTCTTTCAAAATTAGCTTTTCCATCAGATATCTGCCATTGTCTCTGTAAAACTTTATTCACTTTAAAAATTTATTCATTAGGTTATAGGACTTGAGCCTGAAGGAAGCCTATACTGTCCTACCTCACAGTTTTGGTTTGAAATTTTCATCTGGGTTTGGTTCACCCTTAACATCACTAGCACTTCAGTGACTATGGTGCCACCATCTTTAGTGGCCTGTAAGTCACCGTCTGTTCTGGGAAGCTATGTATCCCTCTGCTTTGTGCCTTGGAATTTTAAGCTCCGTTAGGGCAGGGACCATGTGTTCTTCAGTTTTGCACGATCCAACATTTAGCATAGTACAGGATAGGTAATCGGTCCTCGTTAAAGATGTGCTGATGAATGATTGTGAAAGCATTTTCATGAACTATAAGGCACTTTGGAAATAGAAAGCGTTTTAACTTACAATTATTCAGTAGAAAGAGACATAGCTCCTATCTGAGGATTTAAAACTCTTGTTGGTGTTTTTAGAACATAGGAGTTGCTTGTGCTTTAGAGGATGTTTACAGTTTATTTCAAACAAATAAAAAATTTCTCCTTCATCCTGAAAATTGACCTTCAAAATTAAATCCTGGGGCATCTGGGTCGTTCAGTCAGTTAAGCATCCAACTTCAGCTCAGGTCACGATCTCATGGTTTGTGTGTTCCAGCCCTGCATTGGGTGAGCTCGAGCCCCACTTCAGGGTGAGCCCCACTTCTCCCTCTCTCTCTTTCTCTCTCCCTGCCCCTTGTGAGATTCTCTCTCTCCTCTCTTTCTCTCTCTGCCCTTTGCTCACTTGCCCCCCCCAAACAAAAATAAAATAAACAAACAAAAGCCCAAACCTAAATCCTACTCTGAAAGAAGGACTGACACAGACTTGACCCTTGAGAAATCCATGGCTATGGAAGTGGTGGTGGAGAGGTAGAGAAGGTTCTGTATGAACCCTGGGTGGCCATCAACCAGGCAACCTCAGAGGTCCTGGCTATTTCTTTATATGCAAACTTAAATTAGCTGTTGTTATTCACTAAGAACAGTTTTCTTATTTCCTTCCTTATTTACCAATGTCCATTAACTAAGCTGAAAAGGAAATTAGTAATTTTTTTTTTTGGCTGCACTAGAGTGAAAAGGCTAAAAATGAACATTTGTGAGATATTGTCGAGTACTCTTAAGACTTATAGTATCCAGTGATCAATCTTATATCCTGCCAGTGTTCACGGCAGAGTAGTGCAGTCTCTGAATAGGATAGCGCAGGAAGTTCTAGTTTACGTGAGGCAAACAGCTTCTTTGCAGCTTGTACATTGGTTAGTTCATATTTAGAAAACTCAAAATGGAAAAAAATGCCTTTCTTCTGTAATGAAAAAAAGCAATTCTTTAGGTGTTATTTAAAATGAACAGCGGCTACACTGATCAGAGGAATAGTTGCATTTTGGCATAAGAGTATTTCATGTTATTTTGATTGTTGTTTAGTGCTTACGAGGAGGATGTGCCTCAATTGTAACTTTTTCTTCAGGTTAAGACTGTTCTGTGCATTTCTCTCTAAAGATTTACATGGGTTCTTGTTTTGATACCAATGGCCTATGACTCTGTTTAAAGGTGTCTGTGGTTCTAATTCAGATATCTATTAGCCGTGTCCTGGTCCTCCTGGGTTCTTTTCGGCTCTAATCATGAATTTTACAAGTCAGGTATCTTTTAATCGGTGTTTCTTTAATTTTTTTGCTTCTTAACCTGATGTCTATTTCTTTAGATGGACAAGTACATATGATTTAATGGATCTTTTTACATTAATATTAATACTGTGGGAATTATGACTAGGACATTGTAGGTACTCAGGACTTCAGACTATGATTCTTATTAGGGAATTTTTTTTTTCCTGTGTAAGCACGGAGTCTATAAATAGCATTGTACAGGAGGATAACAAAAGACTGATTCTAATTTGGTCAGATGGAAAGGGGAGCAGGGGTAAATTATACTCTGAAAGCTTTATATCATGTATTTATGTCATGGATTTCAATCTAGTATTGAACATGAAGCTATTATTGGCCATTTTATCTTTGCATCCATTGTGGTATATGTATGTGCCTATAGGATTCACAAATGATGCTGCCAACTCAGCATGAGGCAACATTCTTGTTTCTATTCCCCATCACCCACCAGTGCTGGCCTAGACAGCTCCCTCACTCACTGCCCTCTTCAATACTTCACAGTGCAGCCACAGTGTTCACAAAGCTCCACCCCCACCATTTGTCTCTATACATTGACCTTCAGCCTGTTCTCCAGGACTAGCCGGTCTCCAAATCCCTCCTCTCTGAGGCCTTCCCTGATCAGGTGTCCCACTCGGCTGTGATCCATCCCTCCTTCGAACTTCTCTGTCACTTTCCACCCTTCCCACAGTCCTGAGAGACGTTAAGTTTTCTTGGGGTGGCATGGAAAATGAACAAACTCAAACCTCGGAAATGATACTGTCTTGTTGCCCATTCATTCCTTTCCAGATAACCAAGCTGAAAATAGATAGCAACCCTTTTGCCAAAGGATTCCGGGACTCCTCCAGGCTCACTGACATTGAGAGGTAATGAGAATTTTCTGTTTACTTTTTTGTCCAGATAAGATAAAAAAAAAAGAGTGAGTTTGTAGGAACACACTCCTTTCAACGCCAAAGAACCATAACCTTGCTGTAGATAGTCTCCGATTCGCCACCCCACTTCCCCTTCCACCTATAAACCCTTAGATATGCAGCTGCTTAAGCTTTGACAGCTGCTATGTCTTCATCTGCTCTGTGCTATTTCCAAGGAAGTGTTTTTTTTGGTTGGGACATTTACTCAACTGTAAAAAATAGGGTTTCTTCATTATCAACGACTCAATCCTTTTGATGATACTAAGCTTCATGTCTCGAGTGGCAATCTATAGAGAAATGGAATTTTGATAGCCTTTGCCTTCTGAAGTGGACATATTTGCTAGCATGAAGAATATGAGTAGTTTGGAATGTCGAACGAAGCAAGGAGATCTAATTTAATTCAAGGCACATATTTTACCTATGGTGTAGACTGCGTCTATGTTGTAGGAGAGACATCAGATCTCAGGACCTTTAAGAAGACAAGTGACAATCGTGTGCCTGTAACTTCACTTTTTACTTAATTGAAATGGTTCACACATTGCGAGGCCATCTATGTGATGAGTAATGACTATAATGAGATCCATAGCTTGCCCATAGGAATGTCAAAAAAATGTGTGTTTTTCATAGGGAGAAGATTTTTCAACCTGATTATTTGTAACTCTTACACCTACTATGTAACTTTCTGTACTTCTTTTTTTTTTTTGTATGAGAACATTTAAGTTCTCCTCTCTTTGCAGATTTCACTTATACAAAAAGTGTTATCAACTCTAGTCACCATGTTACACATTAGATCTTTAGACCTTTTCTATCTTCTGAACTTATTCTTTTATGTGGCCTGAAGTCTTTGACAGGTGGTGTACCCTCACCACCAGCCTTTAGGTTTAATTTACCTCCAAATCTTTGTGCGATTTCCCTACTAACTGCTACACGTCTCTGTCACACCCTGTGTTACCTACCACAAGGGCATGTCTCCTGACCTCCGCACTTCTTTCCAACCTGTCCTGGCAATTACAGATGAAGAACTAATTACACATTTTAACAACATCTTTCTGATCCTTCCCTCAGCCTTCCCAAGTGGCAGAGCATGGGGGGTGGGTGGTTTTGAGTTGGAGAAACAGATATAGAGACTCAGTGGGGAGGTGGAGAAGCCAGCAGGATAGGCTGAAAGTGGGGCAGGTGCTATGGGATTTGAGTAAAAGAGAGACATTAAGTGGTTGGGGAGCTTGACAAGTGGCTGTGGGTGCTGAGATCAGGGAAAGAAAATTTAGCTTGTGGTTGAAAATCCATTGCATGGGCGCCTGGGTGGCTCAGTCAGTTAAGCGTCCGACTTCGGCTCAGGTCATGATCTTGCGGTCCGTGAGTTCAAGCCCCGCGTTGGGCTCTGTGCTGACAGCTCAGAGCCTGGAGCCTGCTTCGGATTCTGTGTCTCCCTCTCTCTCTGCCCCTCCCCCACTCATTCTCGCTCTCTCTCTCTCTCTCTCTCTCTCTCTCCCTGTCAAAAATAAATAAACATTAAAAAAAAATTTTTTTAAAAAGAAAAGAAAAGAAAATCCATTGCAAACTGCAGAGAGACTCCAAGTGGGTAGCTCTCTAATTAGGTGGGACAAAGGCAAGCAGATAGGCCTTGAGACTGAAGTCAGTGAGAATGTAGCATCAGCAGTGTGGGTGACAAATGAGTCCATTTGCAAAGGCTGCTCTCATTCAAGCGTGACCTTTTTCATTTGTTTCTGGAACGCCAGAGGCACTGATGCAAAGGAGATGTGTACAGGTGGAATCATAAGGGAACTTGTCTGTTTAAGTCAGGTAGCAGGTAAGAATAAAGACAGTGGCTCAGTGGGGCTGTAGTGGTGTGTTTTTGTAGTGTGTGCCCTATCTTCTGTCTCAAATCAAAGGATGGGTATAATATACTGGGGGACAAACTCATCAGTTAGACTCCCAGCTCTGCCTTTTACTGGCACAGTGATCCTGGAGAAGTCTCCTAGCCTCTGAGTCTGTTTCCTATGGGAACAATAACTCTGCTCACTTCATAGGTTTGTTATGAGAACCAAGTAAGATAACATTTATGAAATACCTTATAAATATAAAAATATGAAATAATTATATTATTATTTTTTTGCCCCATCTAAGTGTACTTTAGTAGTCTTAATAAACTACTCCTACAGTAAAAATAGCCTCTTAGTTGCACGTGCGCTCACGAGATGTGAGTCCCCAGACTGACTGCCCTTTAGAACAGCAGATTTAATAATACATGCAGGCACATTTTCCACTTATTGAATAAGCATCCTGATGTGGGGAGCAGTCACATGAACGTGAAGCTGAGTAGCTTTCAATGGTCTGAGAGCAAAAAGAGCATCTTCTGTGACCAGCTGAAAGTTTGCAAGATGACCTAACTAGTGTGAAATTGGCCAAGGTTTTGGATTTCATTTCCAGGTATTTAAGTCTGAATTTTCCCTAAACAGCCTTTGGGGATGGGTCAAATCAGATCAATTGATCTTTAGAGACCTAAAGAAATTAAATTAGTCTGGAGTCAGTTACTGCACTAAACCATCTAGTAATTGAATTGCTCCTTGTAACTGATTGAAAACAGCCCTATCTGTAACAATAGAGGAGACTTTTCTTTATAAGAGATCTGAGAGAAAAACACATCTTTTTATGACATGATGACAGAAATTGCACTTTTCTAACCTAATTGAATATGATGTTATAAATATGTGATCTTAATTATTTTAAGTTTCCTGTTCTAGATTTACAACTACTATATGGGACACCCAAACAAAAATGCCTTTGGGACTGGATCTGTTTGCTATATACCTCTATTATAATATTATTTCTTCTACGGTTGCATATGCTTTTGGGATACTGTATAAGGCATTACGGTTTTCTTGCTCTCATTTTACTAGGTTCCGGTCAGATACTTGAATGTCTAACATGCTTCACATGTAGCGTTACTCCTCAGTGACAGCATCTCCCTCATTTCTAAAAGGAAACCCACCTCATTAGCAAAAGTAGAAAGTATTTTCATTGGATACTTTGCACAGCTTAGAAGCAAACCAAAGCCCAAAGGGATTTCTTATTTTTTTATTTTTTTAAATGTGTATTTATTTTTGAGAGAGAGAGAGACTGAGCGTGAGCAGAGGAGGAGCAGAGAGAGAGGGAGACACAGAATCCAAAGCCTGGAGCCCCTGAGCTGTCAGCATAGAGCTTGACGTGGGGCTCGAACTCATAAGCCGTGAGATCATGACCTGAGTAGAAGTTGGATACTTAACCAACTGAGCCACCCAGGTGCCCTAGGGATTTCTTCATATAACCACATTCATAGTTATTTAGTTCAGGGAAAGAAATACCTGCTGGTCTGTCAGATAATAATAAACAATCTGTCAAGCTGATGTTTTCTTTGGGGGGGGGGGGGCACTTTGTACAGTAAGTGAAAGCACAGTGTTACCTCTGAGAAAGGAAAAATAACTGGGAGGGTTACTAATTGATTTCTTCAAAATTAAGTTTCTTTTATTAGCTTTTTTTTGAAAGAGAGTTCATGCTCATTGCAGAAAAATACTAACAAGAAAAAAAAGCATAAATACATAACAAATCCCATTCACTCATTGGTAATACTGCTAACAAAAATTTATATATTCTTCCAGGTACTTTCCTATGCATTTACTTCCTTTAAAGTTTACATACATACTGTTTTTAATCATTTCCCCTTAATATCAATAGATGTTTGTCTGTAGTATACTTTTCAATAGCTGCCTAATTTTCCACTGTGTATGATCATTTATTTGACCAATCCTATATATTGGTTACTTACATTTCCCACTTTTTATTATTATAAACAGGGCCAGGAAGAAAATACATATCTTTACCCATATTCTTCATTATTATCATAGGATAAATCCTAACAAATGAAAACACTGGGTCTAAGTTTTAATCATATTTTTAATTGTTAAAAATTTGGGAAAAACCTAAATATTCAATAATAGAAAAATGGTTTAATGAATGTTTATAGTCATGCAATGGAAAAACTTTTAAAAATTGTGATAACATTGCAACCTAAAGTTTGCCATTTTAATCATTTTTGAGTATAGAATTCAGTGGCATTACGTATATTCACAGTGTTGTACAACCATCACCATTATACATTTCCAGAACGTTTCCATCATCCCAAACAGAAAGTCTGTACTCATTCACTAGTAGCTCCCCATTGGTCCTCCCTCAGCTCCTGGTAATATCTGTTCTACTTTCTGTCTCTGTGAATTTGCTTAGTTTAGGTACCTCAGAAAAAGGGAAAGATACACGTTTTTAACGCTTTTCATACATACTGCCAAATTTCCCTCAAGAATGATTGTCCATGTCATGGTCAAGAGTGCCCATTTCTTGTACCTTTGTCAAACATAATCACTGTCTTTTCATCTTTGCCAATTTGATAGGTGAAAATTTGTCCTTTCTTTTGTAAGTTGGCCTGTTTGTCGTTAACCCTCTCTTTTTTCTTTTGTATTGTTCATTTTTTCTCTTACTGATCTATACAAGCTACTTATGTAATAGTATTTTTAGTATTTTATATATAATATTTAGTATGTATTAGTATTTTTATTGTTTATGTATACTGGATCCATTTTACCAGTTTGAAATTAGCTTTTTAAATGTTTTTGATAAATAGAGTATTTTATCACCAGTCTGTTTTTCTTTTACTTTATGATTTCTATTAAGAGGCCCCCTACTTCAGAATTATATAAATATGTAAATGTTCAACTACAGACTTCTGTCACCTTACGGCTTTCTATTTTTTCACTTAAAAAGTCATGCAGTATTTATTTTGGTGTAAGATATAAAATAGACATGTGTACTGTACATTTTTTATAAGTGGTTCCAATACATGTATTTACTAACATATTCCTTTCCCACTTATTTATAATACCCCCTATCATATATTAAATTCTTACCTATAGTAGTTTTTATAG